ATGATCAGCCATTAAAAACGATCGTTAGATATAATGACGCCTCGTTAATGAGGGGTGATAACAAATCTAATCTGGCCCAACATGACGATAAAATATCACGCAGAAATTTTGATTGAATAATTGAAGGCAGGACACAAAAAATTATAGCACCTACACCACCTCGGGCAGTTATTTCAGAAGCAGTTTCTTCAAGGCTTCCCGGTGCTGCGCTGTTTCCAGATTCACCTTTGGGTCTGAGAGTGCGAGCCGTGATATACACTGTAGCACCACATTCACCTAGTCCCACCGCAATTCCACGGCCTATTCCCCTGCTTGCGCCAGTCACAAGGCAGACGAAGCCACGTAAATCAGATAGCTTACTAGACATTTAGGAACTCGATTTCAGCACAAGAGCAGTACACTCACTTATCTCTAACCAACACCACGCAAAAATGTTCAGGTGAGTGCAAGTTCCGACGAGTCACATCAAACGGGTCACATCAAGGACGATGAATTAGATGATTAAAATATGTCTCCAATTAATCTATATTTCTAAGTTAACTTGATGCAAAAGTTGGACTTAACGATTTCTCGCATTATGCTATTTTTTGTATGTAATTACAGTTTCGTTAAGTCACTTCATGAACAATGTGTGCTCGTTTGCCTTCACAACTCTTTCTGTAAAACTCTTTCTACACTAATGATTGCAAGAATTGGGTGTCTGTGATCGATGTCTGATGGTAGACGAAAGTTATTTATATGCGGTAATCGATCTCAGGAAAGCCTCAAGAGTATGATGATGCCGAGCTGCGTTCTTCTCCTTTCAGACGATCCTTCATGGAGCCAGCAGAATACCGGGAGAAAAATGAATGCATTATCAATGGTGACTTTAAGGCTTGACCATAAGACAGTATTTGACTTAGGTTAAAATTGTTGTCACCCCTCCAAATAAGACAAACACGCTTTGTAACAACAAGCACATTCACTTTAAAAAGTTTTTGCCTATTCACGGTTATTTCTTGAGTCATGACTTGATCCGAACTCCGAAAATTATTTTCAAAGGCTGAAAACAATGACCAAGAAAGTGCATTCATTTTTTATGCACACACATACGTAAACTAGATTTGTTGGAGGCAAATATTGCTCATTAATTTTAAATGATTTCAATCGCCCTCCCTGCCTAATCCTGCAAATCGTCTTTGGAAAGTATCGTCAAAATAGAACCTTTTGGGTTAAATATGTCCCTTCTTCCCTACGTTACGTTTACTAAAATATGCTAATATTTGGACTCTTTACGGAGGTACAGCATACATCTACATCTTCGTATTCTGAATGCAAATTACAATTAATTGAGCAGCTTCCTTTAATTTCGATATATATGTGGAACCAATAAGCACATGATTGGAAATCCAAACTCCCGTGATATTTGGGAATATTCAATGTTAATTACATACTGAATAATCATTTAAATTTTGCTTGATGAGAGATTTCTTAAGGTACGTACATGCTCCAATTTTATTTGTTGAACAACTGCTAGATGGAATGCCGGGCGAGGACACGCATAAAAAAATGATGTTTTACGAGTTCCAGCAGGTCATCAGCTTCGCTAAATTCACCGATTCAAAAGACACAGATTTTTGTGTCCAGGAACCAGACAACAATGATTTATTCATAAAAGGATAGTGATGATCATTTGCCAAATGAAGGTGAAGCTGATTCCAATTAAGTCAAAAACGGTTAAGTGTAAAAGTGGTCGGAACAGCCGAACACGGTTCAAGGAGAACCGATGTCGGCAAACAACTCTACAACAATTCTTACCAATATGCGAAGTGAGTCCTAATCGCAAGTTCACTTTTGACTTAAGGCATCATCTGCCACACACACAGAAATTGGGTCGACATCTCCAACGACCGTTACAGTTAATTCGGAACGATTTTAA